TACTTGGTCTAATGGAAAATTTCCCTATTAATATAAAGAAATTGCATTAATAACCCACATATGATTATAAATAAAAGTAAAATAAGTATTTAAAATTACTATCCTAAAGGATTAGTGATTCTGAGGTGCTTTATTTCACAAAGCAGTTTTTACTGTTTTGGGAAGACTCATTCTTTCAACGAATAACAAGTATCTTATGATTTCTGTAGTTATCCTTAAGCTTAAAGAATCAAAATGAGCTCAAAACGTTTTGACACCCAAAGCAGTGCAGACCTTGAAAAGGGTATCCAGGGCCTTAGGGGCTACATAAAATTGTTGGTATGTTGATACTTAATAATCCTGTCTTCCCAAAGTACCATATGTGTTGTTTTTGGAGTTACATTAGACTGCTTGACCTACAGTTGAAAAGTGCCTCTAGAACAGTGTTTCTCAACCTTGGCCACTTTAAGACGTGCAGACTTCAACTCCCAGGAGTCTCCAGCCAGCCATAAAGTCCTTAAATTGGCCAAGATTGAGAAACATTGCCCTAGAACATCTATTTAACGTATATACTCGAGTATAAGTCGACCCGAATATAAGCCGAGGGACCTATTTTTCCTCAAAGAACTGGGAAAAAATGGTGACTCGCGTATAAGCCGAGGGGGCATTTTTCAGCACACACATTTTTCTGACTGGGCGGGCGGGCGAGAGAGGCGGGCAGAAAAAAAGGGGGGGGGGGAAATCCACACACGCTCGCGCAGGGAAAGGGAAACGGGTGGGCCGGCCGGCTCCCCTCTCCTCTTTGTGTGTGTGTGTGTTTGTCTCTCTCTCTCTCTCTCTCAATTCTCCCCCACCCCAAAAGCGGGGAGGGGGCGACCTTACAAAAGGGAGGGGGCTTCTCCCGGTTGCGGAGAAGGCTGGAGGTGCGCCTTTCTCGGCCAGCCCGGGTAAATTCGGCCGTATTCTTCAATACGGGCCGGCCCCAGCAGTTCCGGCCTCGGCCTCCCTAGCCCTGTCGGTGAGCGCCCGGCAGGGCGCAGTGTCGCCAGGCCTACCCCCTTCGCGCGAGGCGTCTGGCGTTCCCCCTCGCGCTTGGCTGCGTCGGCCCGGGGTATTCCGTCCGGAAGGGAAGGGGGGAGGGCCGTACCTGGAGCATCACAGGCCGGGGCGATGCCAGGAACGAGCTGGGCGGCGGCGGCGGGAACGAGCCGGGCGGTGGCGGCGGCGGCAGGAACACGCTGGGCAGCGGCGGCGGCAATGAGCGCGGCGGCGGCGGGAACGAGCCGGGCGGCGGCGGCGGCAGGAACACG